CAAAAGTGACCAACATTATCTTATTCATGCATTTACCAATATCAACATGTTCCATAAAGCATAAAGAGGTAGTAAAGTATTACCTCGATTTTCGTGCAATACTGATCGACCATAAAAATTCCATTCGAACGCCTTTGATCTTCAATTCAACTTCCAATAATACCTCAGATACATATCAACATAAATTATATCAGAAACAGAGCTTAATTGCGATAAACGGATCGAATCGGGTGATAAATCAGTGAAAGACGGCTTACCGGGATCGAATTTGGCGAAACGGACTTCGGATTCGGATTCAGGACGTCGAAAGCATAAAATATGACTTTTCAAAAATTTGGAATTTTCGGTCAAAATCAAAGTCTTCGGGTTTGACTGACAATTTCGAGGCCTTCGGGTTCGAATTTCGAAAAACGGACAGCGGAATCGGATTTGGAACGTCGAAAAATGTCAGGATAGGTATACTCGGTCGAAGTCAAAGGTCGTTTAATGCCCGATCAAAGCCGGTCAAAGTTTTGGTCAACAGTGGTCAACTCCGGTCAACGGGTCGGGTCGGGTAAACGGGTCGGGTCGGGTCAACGGGTCGGGTCGGGTTGTGACCGGTCAAACCGGTCAAAACAGTTCCAAAACCGGTCAAACCAGTCACTTTTCCCTTCCCCACGCGTAGTGGCGGCGCGTGGGGGCGCGTGAACAGTGATAAAATCCCGGAAAAATTTCTAAAAATTATTTTGAGCGATTTCGAGATACTTACAAAGCTCGGTTCACAATTTTGAACGGCGGAGTGCTCGATTTTAACAAATCGGGAAGTTTGACCGGTTCACCTCCCAACGCGCCGCCGCCGCCGGAGAAAAAGGAGAACACCGGTGGACTCGGAACGGCACAAGGAACACGATGGTGCGGGAGGTGTCGTAAACGGATGACCCGATCGTCGTGAATCGATGAAAAACCAACTAAAATCGAGTTATTACCGACGATACTTCCGACTGAAATTCACGACGAACGGCGATGATTCACGATGAAAGGTTTAAGGGGTTTTGTTCCTCGGTTGACAACGAACACGATGGTTGTTTCGGCTTGTCGTTTGGAGGTCAGACGGCGAGTAGATCGGAGTTGGAAGTATGGAGAACGGGAGAGGAAAACTGGAAAATTTTCCAGAAACATACGGGAGTCTGGGGGTTTATAACATCTCATAATTAAAAATGGCTAAACCAAGAGTTTAGCCACTGAACTTCCTGCACTTCTTAAAACGGTCTGTCAACTTTGAAATCTTACAATTTAATCCCTTATTTCTTTCAAAATACCAAATTAAATCCACCAATTTATATTTTCTTAAATTTAGCCCCTAAATTGGGGTGTTACACTTCAAATATAAAAAAACTAAAACGACATCTATCGTCGGTTTAGGGAAATTGGTTCTAAAGTCCATTGTTGGTTGTTCGTTGGAAGAGATTCAATCGCCGCTAGTGATTTGGAGACTCGACCTTCATCGAAGTGAGGTTTTGAGTCGTCGTTACAATTCTGAGGCATTTAAGATTTGGTCTTAATGTTCAGACTGGGTGCTGGGTTTTGAGTTGCTCACGAGCTTTTCGAATAGGATATAAAGTAGTTCACTTGGCTTGTTAAGAATTCGAGTCGAGTTTGAGCTCGAGTCGAGTCTGTTCAATTCGAGAGTTAGTCAAATTTTGACTGAATCTCAATTTCAAGTAACTTGCAATCTGTCTCATTTCATTTATAGCCTTATCCATAAACCCTAAAATCTCCTAAAACATGCCTTATTCAGTATCTCAAACAGTTAAAATTTAACCTAAAAAAACATCAAATCCTCGACAAAAAGACACAAACAAAAGTTTATACCTTCAAGAAAATATCATATCAATTGAAATATAATCAAAATCAATCTAATTAATTCATATTAAGAGATTAACAAAGATAAGTAAAGTAAAATAATTCTATTTTTTTTTCTTTTTCTCTACCGGCCACAAATACTTTTCCTTCTTTTTTTCGTTTGATTTTATCAGCCACGACACCAATTTTTGTGTTTGGTCGTCAACCGTATGTGTTCATCCTTTTTGTTGTTTTCTCATATTTTGTTTTAGTTTGTTATTTTTATTCAATTGTTTCTAATTACAATAAAAATCTCATTTGTTTGATTTCTTACTTTTCACATATTTTGTACATGTTTGTCTGCCTTTTTGGCACATTTTAACTCTGCTCTTGTAACACGTTTTACTATGCTCTTGTGGTACGTTTTCTCTGTCTTATGGCATGTTATTTGTCCATCTCTGTGGTAGATATGCGTTCGTGTAAATATTCTCACGTCGCTCGTATCATATGATTTGCGATTATAAGTTGTCTTTTAGTGGTTAAGTTCCCTTTTGTGGTTGTTTATAATGCATTCAGATCTATTGCAAAGCAGTATATAGGTTTGCTTTGGATTGCTCGCCACTCCATCTCTAAAGCGTCTAGTTGGATAGAGAAAAAAGAGTACTATTGATGATTACTGGATTACTATAAATGATGGACATCAGATTCAAAAGAAGGTTTGGACTTCTTGGGTTTTCTTTTTATTTAATTCTATGTTTGAGGTTTTTGGTGGATATAATCCCTAAAATTATCTATTTGTTTGATTATGTTGTTAAGGTTGTATCTTCTTTTGTTTCAATAAAATTCAGTATCGTTTCAAGTTAAAAGAAAAATTATTAAAAGATTAACAACTTTGAACATTACTTTTCTTATCCCAACCTCTCAAACATTTCTTTGAACACGCATTAACATTACCATAACCTTGTTTAATGACTACAAAATTACACTCTAAATATAACTTTAGAATTTCAACAAGATTACAATGACAATCACACAAATAAGGTAATCTCGTATACCAAAACGCAACAAAGTATGATAATTATAATCTCAACATGACAAAATACTCTAAAGCACAACTAACACTCATTTGTATATGCCAACACAATTATAATTTAGAAAATACTCAAAATATCATGTAACACCTCAACTTGTGGTAGCATGCAACACCCCCAACTTACTCGTAAATTAAATTAGGAATATCACATTAATTGATCAAATTTTTGTTTGAGTTAAATCAGAATTAAATTGAACAAACAAGATCTCAAACAACTCATAAACATTATTTTAGAGTAAAAAATTCATAGTTAGATTGTAATACCCTCTACTCGACTTAGTCGAAAACTAGATCGAGGATGAAATCAAAGATTGAAAATTAGATTCAAACAAACATTTCTAGACATTCAATGATACACATGAATCTCAAAGTCAAAATATGAATTAATCACCATTATTAAACAATTTTCAAGGTTGTTTCTGATTAAGAACCAAATAATATCTTTTCCTAACATTAAGGACTAAATTGTAATTAATTCATAGTTAAGAGACTAAATTGTAAATATAAAAATTATAAGGGTGATTCAAAACATTCATTTTTAATATATATTTGTCTACGAATCAATTGTTCTTTCAAAAAAATGGTGATTGAATCGGACATCAAATGACAAAGTAATGACAAAGTAATGAATTAATGACTAAAATGTTAAGTTTTAAAATTCATGGATTGTCCGCTATTTGTGAGTATTATAAATGGGTGCGGATATATGTGCACGTATACACAATCTAACAAGTAATATAGTGATAAGTTGAGTATCGTCTCCACAGGGAATTGAGGAAATCAAATAGGTTTGTCAAAGCACTTTACTTTGTCACCTAAGTAAAGTTAGTGATGGTATGTACAAATGAGAATGTTGTAGCAAAATGGAACGAATGATGTGAAAATGGAATGGTGGTAGTGTGGTCGCAATTGAATATGTCGTGGCAAGTTGGATGAAATGTTGTGGCAAATTCAATTGTGATAAGTGCAAACAAGTGGAAATGTCAAGACAAAATAAAATATAAATATACAATTTGATTTATAGGACTTTAGCTTTCTCACACGACAAGCTACTATAGAAGTGAGTGATAGGAGTCACTGGGAAAATCTAAGTCTATTTCTCCTAATGATATTTCTTCTATGCCTAGCCTGCCCGACAGAGTCTACTAAGGTGCCCTATGCTATCTCTAGTAAGGGACTCGATAGATTAAAGATGCCCTGGCATAATTGATTGGCTTAAACCCCTGCATTGATCCTATTGGTCCAGATAACAGGATATGTCTCGGCAATACCTTTTTGTGGCAGCATTCACTACATCAAAACAGGTATATAGCGGCGTTTGTCGCGGCGTTTTCAAAGAAAACGTCACTAAATTTGTACATATCGTGGCATTTATATCCAAAACGCCACTAAATTGTAACATTAACTGCATTTCTCAATAAACGTCGCTAAAACTTGTACTTTAGTGACATTTATTTGAAAAACGCCGCTAAAGATCAATACTTTAGTGGCGTTTACAAACGCCACCATATAATCGTTCTTTAGTGGCGTTTTTAAACAAACGCCATAATAGGGTATATATATCGTGGTAATTTTAGACAAACGCTGCTAAAACGTAATACTTTAATGGCGTTTTAAGCAAAAAATGCCGCTAAATACTCATACTTTAGTGGCGTTTTCCAAAAAATGTCGTTAAAACGTAGTACTTTAGTGGCGTTTTAATTAAAAACGCCTCTAAAGACTCATACTTTAGTGGCACTTTTTGAATAAACACCACAATTGATCAATACATTAGTAGTACATTAGTGGCGTTTCTATTTACAAACGCCGTAAGTTTTAAGTTTCTAAGTCCCACCCCTTTGCTTCAAAATTCATATGTTTACCAATCTCTCTTACTTTGCCTGATTTCCCATTTATTTCTGATTTTCTCTCATCCAGAGATGGGAGCTCGAAAAAAGCTACTCACATTTTATTCCTTCTTCTTTTATTTTGGGTTTGAAATATGGTTTTAAGGTCTGAAATGGAAAAGAATAGAGAAGAATACAAGTAATGCATTGTGAAAATTCTGATAGATTAAAGAATACATAAAGAAAAAGAAAGAGGGGAAATGACAGAAACGGACCTGTCGAAGAAAGTGGCTGATAGATACTTGAAGCGCGAGGTTCTTGGTGAAGGTACTTATGGAGTTGTCTACAAAGCCATTGATACTAAGGTAACCCTAAATATCTTTCTTCCTTTATATTCTTTTTTGAAACTGAGTTCGGAGATAGAACAATTAGGTTTTTGATAGTATAAGTGAAATGCATAATTCTCCTTTTTCTCTCTTAGATAAGTTGCGAGGATAAAATAATTCAGTTTATTTGCTATCAATTTTTTGTTAATAGAAAATTTGTCACTTAACTGAGAGATTATAGGCTTACTTTAGATGGGAATTTTTCTATTTTGCCTCCTCACCAAAAAGTTAAAGTAAAAAAAGGAAAAGAGAAAGAGAAAATGAAATCTAATTCAACCAAATCGCTAAGTACTTGTGTATAAAACTAAATTAATTTATTCAACTGTTGTAAGTGCAATTTTTTGCTTGTTTCGTCCACTGTAGACAGGACAGACAGCCGCCATTAAGAAAATCCGGCTTGGGAAGCAGAAAGAAGGGGTGAATTTTACTGCACTCAGAGAAATTAAACTTCTTAAGGAGCTTAAAGATCCAAATATAATTGAGTTAACAGATGCATTCCCGCACAAGGGTAATTTGCATCTTGTTTTTGAGTTTATGGAGACTGACCTTGAAGTTGTTATTCGAGATTGGAATATAGAAGCTCCGTCTTTGTCTCCAGAGCAAGAATCGCTCTCCACTCCGCAGCTGCCAAAGCCGAGAGAGTTCTTACTGATTTGATATCCGATCTAGGTAAATTTGAACTCTATATTTTTTGTTGTAAATATCTATTGCAAAATTTTATTGTTATTATTTTTCTGCTTTGGTATTTTTAGATTCCTTTTATCATTTTTCAGTCTTTATGTTATTGTTATTAGATATTAGTGATGGAGATTTTTTTTATCTTGTTTGGTTGCTATTCGTTTGGTGAAGATTGTGAATTATCATATCCGAATGAATTCAAAAATGAATCTCCGACGAGAGAAGACGATTCTAAGGTAAATTTTTGTTGAACTTTCGAACTGAAACGTGGCTTTGTTTTTAAGCTAAAATATAGGATTAGACTATTTTCGTTATTATTATTTCTATCTTTAGACGATTCTTGGAACCGTTTTTGGCTGATGAGAAAATGAAGTAAAGTTTAGAAGTATGTTTGACTTATTTGAGTAAAAAAGTCGTAGAGTTTAGCTTAGTTTGCTTGGACTTGAATTGGAGGATTTACAATTTGTATGCTATTTAGTTTCCCTTTACTTTTCCAGTTACCAAACTAGGCTTTAACATTCTACCGAGTACTTAGTATGGTAAAGCATTCAAAGTGGATGCCTGCAAATTTGGGGACCAAGCAAGAATAGCAGGAAAGATTCAAGAATATACGGTTAGGGAGAAAAGGAGTTGAAGATTCAGAGAAAGTTGAAAATTCAACCACGGCTGTTGCATTCTATGATGAAAACTTATACTTTGTAAAAGTAAAGAACGATGCGGAATCAAAGGTACATTTATGATTCTATTTATTTTTGCTCACTTGCAATTGAGAGTTGCTGTAATGAGAATTAAAATATCTATTTTTTGTTCTAATAAAATTCAAATGAAGGGATTTCTTAATGAGATTGTTGTCCTACAGGCTTTAGAAGCAATTCCCTCTGTAGACATTTTAAATACCATGGACACCAATAACTTTCCTCCAACATATGTTATCAAGCAATTAACATTAGTCGTTGAGTAAGTCTTTCAATTCTTGACTTCAGTTGTTTGTTTTCTGCTATTGCTGACATTGAAATTCATTTGATGCCTCATGAAATATGTTGATTTGTAAATTGCTACCTTTATTGGAATTTACTTTCTGGACCATTAACACTGCTTTGCCATACTATTTAATCTTTTGATACAAAGTATATCTTGTTTCTGAGATCAATTTAAGTGGTCAAATGTGTGATCTATTTAATTGTCATATTCAACTTGTGTATGGTGTTCTTATCTTTTTGTGCTTGCCTTTTGGTTCCAGGGCTGGAAGTAATTTTAAATCTATGAAAGATCTTTTGGCATCTTCTGGATATTCTTCACCCTTGAAGGAAAGGACGGGCCTGGCCTTCTCTGTAGTGAAGTCATTAGTTCTTCGAGATAAAGAGGATAAACTTGCATCTGGATTTAGTGATGATGCGAGAGTTGTAACCCCCTCAGACCGATGTGGATAGCCCGATCTGATCTGGAGTGTCACATTAGGGCCACCGGAGTGACCCACCGTAAAATAGCAGAAAATTTAAAACTTTTTATCAAAACATGTAAACTCATAAAATTATTTATGAATACAAAATAAAAGTTATTAGTATTATAAATAAATCATATTTTCAAACTCATATATATAAAACAAAATACAATCTACACCCCCTAATCACATGTATCATACTCTGCAAACAACGCCGGAAGGACTTCCTTACTGATGTTGATAGCTGTACTGGTACAATTCTTTTAACCTACAATGGTGAGTAATAGAGTGACCTTCGAAAAGCTCAGTAATACAGAACTACCAGATGATGCTATAGGACATGTAGATAAATGAAAAGCCATATAGTTTTCTTCTTGAATCAGACGTATACAAATTTTCGATAAAGCTGAGGTTCCACTAGTAGTTCATCGATTTGAAGCCATGAAGACCACAGTTCATAGGAAGCATTCAAAGCATAACATTTTCAGAAGATCGAATAGGATGTCTAGTGTGTTCCAACAGTACCATAAAATCATAATAGCTACACTGATCAAATGATAGTTCAGTAAATCTCATAAATTATACTGTAGTGGAGCTTTTTAATCTCGTAGTTTAAAACCATCGTATAAATAGTTAACCTAAGGGAACATCTTAGGGCCTGAGAGTCTACTTAAGAAAGTTCGGGGATACGGGGCCTACCTAAGAACATATCTTAGGGCTGCAGGGCTTACCCGAGAATGATCTCAGGGCCGCAGAGCCTACCTAAGAGTCACATTAGGTCCATAAAAATTTTCCAGCTTGATCAGAGCTGTACTTTACAAATATGTATCTCCAAGATACAATTTATACAATCATACAAATCCATAAGCCATCACCGTTAAGTCGGTGTATCCATAAAATAGTAACCATAGATTTCAGTGTACCACATGTTAAAACAATAAAACAATTTTTCAAAATATAAGGAACACACTCGAGAATCCAAATATTTTTCAGATGCATTTTGTAGTTATTTGAATGGATAACATGAACTTGTGCAATTTGATCGGATTCTAGGAATAAGATCTTATTAAAGATAATTGATTTCTAACCGATCTAATCAGACATTTCAGATTGATACCTTAGAATTCCACTAAGTTTCCATGTGCATCAGAAAAACATTCAGGAACCTTTATAAAAAATAATTCTAAATTCAGATTTACTGCAAGTGATTCCATTACCCAAACAATCAAGGGTATTCAGGAATATACTTTGAATTTAACCAAATGAGGTATTCAGAATCTTTTCCTTCTACGTTACTTGTGTTTTCAAACATGACCAAAGTGATTTTAGATTAAAATATAGAATCGAAGATTCAAGTCATTTACAATCTATGACTATCGATCATATTATCAAACAACTCGAGTTATACAACTCCCAAACTGATGCATGTCAACAAGTCAATTCATTATCCTTCTAGTGTATTCACTCTTTAATACCATAATGCAGATCCATAGATCATCCCCATAATCATCGCTGAATAGATCTTCCAACGGTCTTTATTTCATTTTCACGTTTCAACGATATCAGGAAATGTGGATGTACTTGATTCATGGTTCATAACCCATAAAGATAATTCATCATGTAAATTCAACAGTGTTTCCAGACTCATCCAATCACCTATTTAATCCTCAGCCTTTGAGGTTCCTTAGTTCGTTTAGCAATTAAATCTATCTCAGATACTTCATAATTTTCCAGATTAATTTAGATGTTTCTAAATTTCAGATACATATTGTATTTCCTTTCAGTTCAATTTAGTCATATACTAGAGTTATTCTGGTATTCATAGTTGATCTATCTCACGAATATCCACTTCTTAGTACCGAATGCGTTCTAGAGTTGATCTGAGCAAAGTACTTCCATAATTATCATCTATCCAAACTCGAGAAGACGAACACGCATTCAAGTGATATCTATGCCATTTAGATATATACATAGCATTAGGGTTGATCAACTCACTTAAGTTGTGTTCCATAACTTTTAGGGGTAGTACAACACCTATGTTTATTTGGATTTTTTATTTAATCCAAAACATTTACTTAGTCTAGTCAATAAGGGCATTTTGGTTATTTTGGTGCTCAACGTTTTTCTATTCATTTCCAAGCTTGAGTATATCCATTCATTCCTAAGATTTGTGACATTCCTGAGTCATTTCTATTCCAGGGGTATTTTGGTCATTTTACATATCCAATGTATTTCAATCATTCCTTCTGTTCGATCTTATTATTTAATTTAATCTTATCACTTACTTCAGTTCCTTCGAACTATTCCGACAAAATATCACCATCGATAAATTATTATTCTTCATGTACTTACTCAAGTCGGAGATTTCCAGGTTAAATGCCTTCTCAGATGTTACTAAAGCATTATCAGGAATTTTCCATACAAAAATAGGATCTCAACAATCAAATCAGTAATTGATCAATTTAAAAACAAATTCTCATGTTACTTCCTCATTCAGAGTCAACTTGGACTATTTTTACTTCTCAAGGGCATTTTCATAATTTTTTAACCAGATAATTTCGGTATTAACTCTTAACGAAAATCATTATACTTTAGAGATCCAATGGTTAATTGCTTTCCCGAACATTCTTTGATCTTGAAATGATTCCTTAACAGACTTCTAGTATCTTGTATAAACCATATTGGGTTAAAAACTGGTTATCCAAATTTTCTAAGCAAACTAGCATTTCTTATGCACATCTGTAGTTTTATCAAATCAATAAATCCTTTCAGAGTTATTAACCAACTTCCAGGAACAATTCTTGTCATCTTACAACATAAGGGTATTTTCATAATTTTACCCTACCTGAATATTATCATAATTTCCCATCCAAGTACCTTTGATGAAATAATTTATATGTTATAGATCCAAGTTGATTCCTTTATCACTAAACACAGAACTTGTAATTTTAATTCTAACAATCCATCAATTTCTTTTAAAAGTCATCTGAACCGTAATCAGTTACCGAATTTTTTATCGTATTTGGATCAAGTGTAGAGATTAATTAACTACACATATGAGACCAATATTATCTTATTCATGCATTTACCAATATTCACATGTTCCATAAAGTATAAAGAGGTAGTAAAGTATTACCTCGATTTTCGTGACATACTGATCGACCATAAAAATTTCATTCGAACGCCCTCAATCTTGAAATCATCTTCCAATATTTCCTTATATGCATATCAACAGAAATTACATCAAAAACTGAGCTTAATTTCGAAAAATAGATCAAATCGGGTGATAAATCAGTCAAAAACAGCTTATTAGGTTCGAATTTGGCGAAACGGACTTCAGATTTGGATTCAGGACGTTGAAAGCATAAAATATGACTTTTCGAAAATTTCAAATTTTTCGGTCAAAATCAAAGTCAACGGGTTTGATTGGCAATTTCGAGGTCTTTGAGTCCGAATTTCGAAAAACGAACTACGG